ACCCTTAAGTGTAACATATAGTGCAGACATGTCTGAGTTTGTTTACAGTTTTTAATAATGTACATCTTCTCCAGCTCCAACACTAGCAGCCAGCTCTGGGCATATTTGATTACAGGTCGGGTCTGGAATTGATTTGAGAGATGGGCTACTTGCAGGTAGTAGATGTGCTGGAAGGAAACTAATCTCTGTCACTTGCAGACTGATATCAGTCTGATATCAGTCTGCAATTTCTCGTAATGCAACAATTAACTGTAAAACATTTTTGTAAATCTTATATCTGTTGCCTTCTACAGAGGCAAGTTGCATTTAATAGAAATTCACATTTGCACTCAGTAACCTTTCTGTTCCACAGGAATATAACCACAATACAAGCAGCTAGCAGCCACTTGAGTCGAGTCCCCTCATGTTGTGCTTATTGACAAAGACTCATTCAGACTGATGGCAACATGTTGGCGATCTGCGTGCATTTATAAATGAAACAGCAGTTATTTGCAGTCGGTTCACGTCAGAGTGGGACTGTCTGCAGAAAGCCTCGTACCAGGTGACCTGTGCAACTGTCATGTGGTCACAGAATATAACAATGAAATATATTTACCAGCCAGAAGGTTGACATGTGTTTTTTTACTTGTGTGAGTAAGATATCAGCTTGCTCTGAATCAGGATGTAGTTTTATCAATGTGAGTGTGTGCACTAGTTTTACTTTGAGCCGATTTATTGCAGGTTTGCTCGGCTAATGTTATCACAGGACCCTGGTACATGAGATGAGCCATCTTTTTCATAGTATTTGAAGAGTATTTTCATTTATTTAATAAAATATTGATATTTGTGAGCCTTTCTCGATACAATATTGCAGAGAGGCTCTCTGTTGAATTGAAGTTGTCAAACCTACAAAAAACTAGTTGTTTTTTTGGGCCATAGCTCTCTAAGTGTTGGCCAGTTGTGACAAAATCGTACACAAATGTCTATGGATAGGACACAATTCCAAACTTCACTGATTTCCGGAGCCACGTAATCTTGAGGTGGTGATGAGAGTTGAGTGTCAGTGTCTTCTCGCGCTTGGCAGTTTTGCCGAGTGCTAATGTTTGCCAGGTGAGGCAGCGACACAGTGAAAAGTGTCACCTCTGCTTGTTTACATCAGCCCGATGAAATCCTGTTTACTTTCCAGTGGATGAATACTCACTCAGACGGCACCTTGTCTCGCTTATCCCCTTGTCCTCTCACTCGCTGCCAGAACAATGGCAAGGTGACACTTGAAAAGATTAACATAAAAGCAGAGGGACCATCACCAGAAAACGGCTCAGACAAA